CCCAGGCTTGTGGAGTAAAGAAAAATCATATGCAGACAAAAAAAATAGACCACCGAAGCATTCTAGGGGAAATGATTTGGGGAGTCTGCTTACGTGTGGTAAACAGTCCCAGCAGAGGCTTATGGTCAGTGAAGACCGTGAAATGCCTGCCATATAGAAAATCATGGAATTTTTTGATTCCAGCAACAACAGCCAGAGCCTCCCTGTCTATCTGAGCGTAGTTGCGCTCAGCAGAAGACAATGTTCTGGAGTAATATGCAACAGGAACCTGAGTTCCATCAGACCTGAGGTGGCTCAGGACAGCTCCAACCCCATAAGGGGACGCATCACAAGCGATGCACACAGGAAGGGACTCGTTGAAATGTGCAAGTACACTGTTAGAAGTGAGCAAAGCCTTGACTTTGTTAAAACAAACCTCATGCGTTTGTGACCACTGCCACACTGCTTGCTTGTCTAGTAGCCTGTGAAGAGGCTCAGCTACACTAGCTTTTTGTGGAAGAAAAGAATTGTAGAAATTCAGGAGGCCCAGGAAGGCCGAAGTTCGGCCTTGGACTTTGGCCTAGGTGCTTCTAAAATAGCAGTCAGTTTGGATTCAGCAGGGTGAATCCCAGCAGCATCAATTTTGAACCCCAGAAATTCAGTAGAAGGCACCCCAATCTTGCATTTGTCTTTTTTGAGCTTGAGGCCTGATTTCCTGAACCTTAACAGAACAGCCCTGAGCCTTTCAGCTAGAATGTGTGTGGAGTCTCCTGCAATCAAGACATCATTAAAGTAGGGGCAAACCCCTGGTATACCTCGTAGTGCGTTTTCCATTACGCTTTGGAAAATCCCAGGAGCGACATTCACTCCAAACTGTAGCCTTTTTACCTTGAAGGCCCCTCTGTGGGTCACAATAGTCTGAGCTGTAGCATCATCATCATCAACAGGCAGCTGTTGATATGCTTGAGCTAGGTCAAGCTTTGCAAAAACACGCCCCCCCTTGAGGGAGGCCAGGATGTGACTGACCACAGGAACAGGATAGGCATGTTGCTGCAATGCCTTATTAAGAGTGCATTTGTAATCAGCACAAATGCGAATGTCCCCATTTGCCTTTAGAGGCGTGACAATGGGGGTCTCCCAAGGACTGGAATCAACAGGTTCTAGAATTCCCTGTTGGATCAGTTTGTCTAAATCAGTGTCAATTTTACTCTTTAAAGCAAAAGGGACCCTTCTTGCTTTAATTCTAATGGGAGTGACAGTGGGGTCTAGCTTTAAGGACACAGGGGTCCTTTGAATGTGCCCAGCTGGGGGCTGAAAACATCTGCAAATTCTTTGCAGACTTCCTGTAGGTCGAGTGTTTGTAAACTGTTGAGTCCTGTGACGTGTATCCCCAGGGCCTCAAACCAATCAAGTCCTATGAGACTCGTTCGTTCACCCCCTACTACTAATAAGTCTAGTGGACCTTCAAAACTCTCGTATTGCACGTTAAGGGTGGCCTCCCCCTTAACACACACTCTTGAATTTTGAAAATCTGTTAACACAATGTCAGAAGGCCTTAGCTTGACCTGAGTTCCACTACCGGAACAAATCTTCCTAAATGTATGCAAGGAGATGATTGAAAGGGCAGATCCTGTGTCTAGTTCCATAGTTAATGGAACCCCTTGTAGCTTCACCTTGAGTGACAGCTTTTTTTTAATGGGCTTGTGTGTGCCTGTCCTAAGGATGCTTTTTCGCGAAGCGCAAAACTCTACCCTATTCTGGCTGGGGACCCTGGTACCTTTCAGGCGCAGTTCTTCCTGAGGTTGTACCTTTCGTCGGCCCAGACACACAGCTGCAATGTGTCCTTGTTTGCCGCATGCCCGGCAGGTAGCGGAGCGGAACTTGCAGTCGGTTCTCCTGTGGCGACCTCCACAGCCGATGCACTTGAGTGGAGCTGAAGAGCTTCCCTTCTGATTTCCTTCCTTCGTGGGGTGGAGACGGTCGACTTCCTCGTCCGGATCCTCCTCGGAGTTCCCCTGGACGTCTTCCTGGTGCACGGATGCAACCTCTGGACTGTTTCTGATCGGCCGCATGTTCTTGACGGCGCCGCCTGCTGCTTCTTCTGCGGTGACTTCTCTTAAGGCATCTTGGAAGGACAATTCTTCTTTAGCGAAAAGTCTCTGTTATAGATCTCGATGCCTTAACCCGCACACGAATCGTTCTTCGAGGTCCTTGAACTCGCAGTGCTTGGCGGCCTTCCTTAATGTGGCGATGTATTCTTTGGCCGACTCACCGGATCGTTGATCCCTCTGCTCGAAGGTGTGGCGCCATGCGATGACGGACATCTTGGGCTGGAAGTGCTCCTTCAGTAGCTTCTTCAGATCTGCGTAGCTGACAGACTCTACTGGAACAGGTGCTGCAAGGTTTTCTGCAATTTCGAAGGTGTCTTGACAGCAGACACAAAGCAGGGTGGCAGCTTTCAAGCTCTCTTCCCTCACTTGGTTTGCCTTGAAGTAGTTCTCCACCCTGGCTACGTAGGACTCCCACCGCTCTGGATGTGAGACGTCGAACTCCGAAAGCCTTCCAACCTTTGCCATCTTCAGGAGACGGGTCTATCAGCCAGCCTACCCCCAAATGCGTACTGGATTGGCGAGTAGCTGCCGAGTCAACACCGTTCCGCCGCTCAGGACTCACTTGGGTAAGCTTACACTTCTTCCTTTCCAGGCGATGTAAGGCATCCCACCTTCGTCGCCAGTGTTGAGTCCTTCACGGAAATGTAAGACACGAGAAGCAGTTGTAGTTCTCAGTTTTCTTTATTCTGCGTTCAGCTTACAAGTAGATGGCTTCAGCAGCTCCCAAACCCTCCTAGCTTCTTATATAGACATTTCCCGGGTCAATGCGATACTTTTCCCGCGCCAGCACCCGTGCATGCGCACGGCGCTGGCGACAGCCTGTCTGGTCCCGGGCAACTTTGCACCTGCCCGGGACCGCCTGCAAACCCCCCGAGCCGTTTACAAGGCTCGGGACATAACAGGTGTGGCCTAATGGGTGGGCGTGGATGGAGTGGGTGTGGCCTATTGGATGGGCATGGTCCACTCTACATCATTCGCGTCAAGTGTGCCTGTGGGAGCCTGGGCAGGAGTGGGACAGATCTGAGGCTCTCTGGCAGAAGAAAGTGGGACCAGAGCAAGTGCCAAAGCATGGTGCATATCTTCATTCCTCACAAAGGGTGACACTTCCCCAGCATGCACCCAGGGGGTGGAGCCAATGCGACAGGGGCTGGTTCCTCGCTGTTTCTGGACAGCTAAGACTGAATGCATTTCAGCATAGATGGCCACCACACAATTGTACATTGGCTCCTGGCTGGCCTGGGCCAGGTCCAGGGCCAAGGCAGTGGGAGCCATTCCCTCACTGTTTCCAGCATGGCTTCGCGGGCCATATGAAACTACTTCGCGTGCCGCATCCGGCCCCCAGGCCTTGTGTTTAACATGTCTGGTATATGTGGTTTATCTCTTCATGTCTACTGATAGCTGATTTTATTGATGGCTGATTGATAAACCTTCTGATTAATAAATTGACTTGTCTGAATGCCAAGCTCCTGGAAATTCCCTGGCGTTTTTTGATTTAGCTTGGTCTAAGATGCTCAGTTTTCCAGTTAAAACTATGGTTGAATCGGTTCATATGTTAAGAGATTAAGGAGTTTTCATTGTGTCTTCTGCCTCCTAATTCATGGATGGGCTATACTAGTCTTCTGCCTCTCTGTCCTACATAATGGCTATTGCAATCCTTATACTGTTAGTTGTAGACGACTCTTGTTTTTTCATATTTTGATTTACTTAAGATCTTTTGGAGAGTTTTAGTTTGTTGCTGTGCTACAGTGGTGCACTGTGGTTGTAATAGTCTGATATTGTTTCTGAGATTTTTTTATGTATGATACTGTTTTCCTTTTCATAGCTTGTGCTGGCTGTGCTGTAGTGGGTGGAATGGTCAGGCACTTTTTAATAAAGTTGTGTGGGTATAAATTTTGTTTGAAATAAGTTGTATAGACAGTCTGTTTCCTTTTTCTGGTTTTCTGAGTTACTGAAATGCATTTGTGCTTGTATGAATAATGTTCTTACACAGCTCTTCTTGTAGGAGGTTGAGTTGTTACTTTGGTAGGGGAGCACTTGATTAGTGTGGGTGGTAGTATGTTGATTCCTTCTTCCTTTGTGAATTTTATTTCTTTGAAGATGTGTTTGTTTCATGTGTCTTCTCTAGTTCTTCCTTTTTTTTTATTATGACAAATGTCTACATACCAGAGCCATGCTTTTAGTTGTATGTGTGGGAGTGTAATAGTTTCTAGACACTATACTGTAGCACAGAAGATCTGTCAACCTCTGATGGCCCTCTCTCGCACAATGCATTCATAATAATTATAATTCATTTAAATGTTAGATATTATTATTATTTCATTGTTACTAATAGTTTTAAATACAATTATTTTATTGTAAGTTAGGTGTTATATACCAGAGTTCCCCAACCTTTGCGGACCAGCGGGTGGGGGAGAGGGAATAGTTCACATCCACTGCTCATGCAAATGGAATGCACGCATTCCCCCCTGCTCACACAAGTCAGAATGCATGTGCTCACCTGCCGCTTCTGTGGCCCGGTTCCAAACATTTCATGGCCCAATAATGGGCCATGGCCCAGGAGTTGAGGACTGCTGCTATATACAGTATTCTTAGATTTTTACACAACCTATTCGGGCAAAGGATCATTCTTAAGTTTGATGGCATAAGTAGCTTAAGTGGAGCCTCCAGGGGTCAAACCAGGCAAGATGGCCTCTGTGGCATTGCAATCCAAGGCCTGCCCCTTTAAATGTTGTACATATCTAAGAAGGGTTAAAGCTTCATGGCAGCATATAAAATACTTTCAAGGTATGTCTGAAATTTATTAGCTATGTGAGGACATGGCCAGAGTGAAGTATGTATCATTTCCATTTCAGCCATGCTTAAGAGAAATCACCTGTTTTTGTGTGTGTGTGTGTTGTTTCTGTTTTATAGGTCAGACTTATTGTGATCGTTTGCGACAGGACACGGCTTTTCTAACAAGCAATGGCAGACTGAGTGAACAGCTGGTTGATAAAATTATTCTTCAGCTAAATCGAGTTTATCCCCAAATTCTCACCATTAAAGAAGCTGAAAAGGTAATCAAGAGAAAATAGTGTCTCCAGATACATGTTAATTTTTCTGTGCTCATTTTATGCAGTTAAGAGTTGCATTCTTGAATTCTTTTTTGAATTTTAAAGCTCTAATATCTGGATGTGATGGAGAGTGGATAAGATCCAGAAAGCAATCATTTCTAGTGGTCCAAGAATAAGAGACCAAAATGAAAACCTTCCAGTGTAGGAATGTGATTCTCATAGCCACATTTGTAGTATTTGACTTAAAAAACTTGAACAATACACATACTTGTAGAAGACATTGATTTTATAGATGGAGATTTCAAAAGCTGAAACTTGTTCCCTATGTAACTAATGAAGCCACAGCATAGAATCTTAAATATCCAACTTCCCTTCTTTATCATTTATGTAGCTCAATTCCATTCAAGTCTGTAAACAGAAGTGCAGGGGATTGCAGCGTTAGCATCTCTTTATACCAGTCATAAGTCTGACAATAAGCATGAAGATAATTCCAAGAACGGATATAATACTCCTCAGATATACATTGTTAATGGATATTTTTAGTTCATACCTGCATCATGGATTCAAGTATAAGTGGTGTTTGTCAAAGGCGCAGTGCACAGAGCATAATTTATTAGAAGAGAAGCTCAGCTATTTAAGTCACAGCTGCAGGATTTCTTTCATTTTTTTTTAAAGGACATAGATTGCTATGAATGAGAACAGCTCAGCCCATGATTTTGCAGATGGGCTAGAATATTATTTTGTTTCTGCTGTAAAGAAAAATCAGGACCCAGAGATTAAACTGACACTATTTCTCTTAGTGAATGAGGCACTTCAGTACATGAGACTTTGATTCTGTGTGTATATTATTTTTCTTCCCGGCATGCTCCCAAGGCTTTGTCCTGAACAAAATGGATTCTTTTTTTTTTTTAAATTGCATTAAAAGTTTTAGAGACAAAGGCAAAAATGAATGCAAACTATATAAAATAAGAAAGAAAGAAAATCAATGAGAAACCTAAAAGTTAAAGAGAGAAAGAAAAATAAAAGTAAAAAAGAAAAAGAAAGATACAAAGAAGTGACTTCTGATCTTTCTTTACAGCCATTATAAGTACAATTATACATTTATCTAAAATTACACAATGACTCTCTGCTTCTACAATCTCCCCTGCCTAATAATCAAAACTGTATTATACATAAGTTTATTTTTTCTGTTTTACACAAAAAAATCCATGAGGATTTTTCAGTGTGCAAAAAAAGGAGATATTGTCTTTTCTCTGACTGGAGAAGTCAGTTTGGCCATCTGAGCGAGTTTTGTCATCTTCACCAACCGTCCCTCCATTTTGAATGGAAGAAAATGGATTCTTGAACCAAAGTTTACAAAGTGGTACCACCAGAAAAAACACAAGGTAGATTAGTTGTGAATAGAAGGTCAGCATATTTGATCACTGTTACAAAGAGTAAGTACCGTATTTTCCAGCGTATAAGATGACTTTCTAAACCCTGAAAATCTTCTCAAAAGTCGGGGGTTGTCTTATACACCGGAATATACAGGTAGCTGTTCTCTGAATTTAAAACCAATCTGCCCCCTAGTGGCCAGCCCTATTTTTTTTTACAGAAATAAGCACTAACAGGACAAAACGTACATTTTTCTACATCACCCATCACTTTATTCTTTTTCAGGAAAAGCAATTAAATAGTAGAAAACAGTAAGCTATATAAATTAAGGACATTACATCTACAAAAAAAGAGAAACATTTGATTTACTTCTTATACCTATAGCAGCAGTCATGAATATATGGAAAAACTTTTTGATTCAGCAAATCACATTGATTAAGAAAGATACTGGTCAAAGGAAAAAGATCAAAGTGAAAATTAAGAAAATAGATGATGGGATCTACCAGAGAGAATATTTAAAAAAGAAACATTTGTTTGAATATGGTTAAAGAAACAGAAAATATTCTGAATACATATGTCATTCTAAGAGAGATGAATTCCTTAAATAATACTGTATCCTCCCCCCCTTTTGTTTTATTTCTTGATATAAGTAATATAATACTGCTGAAATGGCCTAGATGAAGGAAATGTTTTAGATAATTAAATGTGTCTGAATTTAGGGAAATTATAATGTATATAAAAAAAATGTTTTGAATAAGACCTAAAGGATTAGATTAGGCACATTAAATGGAATATTTAAAGATTAAATATATTTTATCAAAATAATAAGAACTATATTATTTCAAGGTTTGCAAAGAAGACATTTTGGGGAAAAGGGGAAATCAACTAAATGTATTATGTGGATTATAGATTATAGAAACCAATTGTTAATGCTATTTCTTTACAAATGTAAACCCAGCAAACACACTGTTTACCAACTATTGAGTGATTTATATTTTAAAAAATCAATAAAATATATGGGGAAAAAAATACCAGCTGAGTTCAGGAAGCATTAGGGAAGCAGTGGTGGGCAACACTCGCTTTCTAGCAGCAAAGGAATGGAGCTCCTATTGTGCTCATCTATAAACAGAAATTCAATATTGTACTGTATTTTCTGGCGTATAAGACGACTTTCTAAACCCTGAAAATCTTCTCAAAAGTTGGGGGTTGTCTTGTATGCCCAGTCGCCTTATACGCCGGAATATACGGTAGTTTCTTGCATATATACAGAGTGGGAAACTTGCTAATGGAGAAAATCTCACTCTTTTCTTCTCACTCTTTTCTTCTCACTCTTTTCTAAGGCAGGGGTAGGCAAGCTTGGCTCTTTTATGACTCGTGGATTTCAACTCCCAGAATTCCTGAGCCAGCCATGCTGGCTCAGGAATTCTGGGAGTTGAAGTCCATGAGTCAAAAAAGAGCCAAGCTTGCCTACCCCTGTGCTAAGGCAAGAGTGGTGCAGGAAGCTTTGTTTATCTATGAATTTAGGATTCCCCAAAAATCTGTTACTCTACTTGAACAAAATTAGTCCTTCTCTGCCCTGGATAAAATTCTAAAAGAGAGGTTAGGGGTTATTTGTATTATACTGCACACTTCTTTTAGAAGAACATGTGAGAGTTACTATAATTTTTACTCCAAGCCCAAAGTGGTAATACTCAATGATATGTCAGGAAAACATATGTAGAAGATAAGAAATTATTTTTAAATCATAGAATGTTGCATAGCTCCTTCAAGTAAAGCTCTTTTAATGAGATCGCACTTATCTAAATGACATCAAACCCCAAAACGGTATGAACATATGCCCACACTATTTGAATTTTTATTCTCTAGCTGCAGGAGATGTATCCATGTGTTTGTTAATATTCCTGTAGAGTTCTGAGTGGGATTGCCTTCTGTTTGCAGTCAGAACATCCAATCTGAAACAAAATCTTCCCTAGTACACTCATAGTGTAATTGTCTCTTGTTTGCACCTGCACACATACCTGTTCTCTAGCAAAGGAAATCACAATTGCATTACTGTGTAAAATAGGAATGAACTGATTTGCATGCAGATGCATTTCCAAGGGCTGAATGCTTCCAACTGATGCATAGGCTATGGTTTTTCAATTCAGTTCACAATAGTATCAAAATGTGAATATACGCTTATAGATTTATATAGATAATTAAGTTGGGTTATATCAAGTTCAGTATAATGATTTGAATTTGCCCGTTAAGATATAACTCATAAATAAGTAGGTAATCCAGCAATTTTGAAAATACAGAATCCAACCATTATCTGGAACTGCCTCCACCCTTGTGATGACCCAGGGCACGGCACAATGCAGTCAGTTGGCAATTCAATTGCTCCAAATTTTCCCCAAATGTTCCCATCTTTCTGGCAAGCCACAGAACAAAGTAAGACACACACCCCTTCAGCAGCCTCTGGCTGCAAGTAGTTTCACATACAGTTAGATTTAAAGAGTAGTTTACTCAAGGCCATGTAGATAACAAGGAATGAAACATACATCCAAAATTTAACGAGTCTGTGGAAATACAAGCCTGCCTGAGCAGTTTCAGAAGAGAAGCCAAAATGCAATCCGAGGTCTCTGAACACAAATCAAGTTTGTCAGACAGTTCAATGGTCAGAGTTTCAGGGTTTCCAAGCAGAAATCACAACACCGAACAAGAGATCAGAGAGTTGTTTCCAAGATCAGCAACAGCACACAAAATTCCAAGAAATCAGCATTTGTTCCTGACAAATGCCCCTCCCCACAGCATCTCCTTAAGTCTCAGTCTACAGGTGTGCCTTGTGGAGAGGGGCAGGGCGCTCTCCTCCCGAGTAGTTGAGCCTGCCTGCATTGTTCCCTCCTTCTCTCCACTCTCCGTGTTCTAGGATCAGGAGGTGGTGGCCTTTGCTGCTCGCTTGAACTCTGTCTCTCATGTTCATCCTGTCCCAATCCTGAAAGGCCCTGGCCTGCCTTGGCCTGCTCTTCCCCACATTCCTCTGAAGCCACAGATATCTCTCCCTCGACCTCCAGCTCATTCTCCTCAGCAGATTCAGGCTCTGAGGGAGGCATGACAGCCCTTAAGTAAAATCACATTACATCTATACCAATTTTGCTCCCTCCCACTAGTTCAATGGACAATTTAAAAAATGTACTTGGGACATTTTGCACATAATAGGTCAGGACATATACAGGGTGCATGCCTGATTAGATGTCAGTTCAATCATTAGTGTGTCCTAATGACTTTTGTGGAATTGGCAGAATCTTGCAAGAAAGTTGGCCATACCAGTTTAATTCTGAGGACTTTATTGTAAAAGTTTATGTATGCTAGCATAAATATCTTCACTTTAATTAAAATATTTGAAATGAGACTGTCACAGATAGTGCTTCTAACTGAAAATACTCATTTGGAAATCTGTATAATTATGTGACTGGGTAGCTGGTAAAAAATTTGCAGTGGAGGATAAAAAGAAGTTGACAAAGGAAGATTAACTGTCTTAAGGCATATGTCTTAAATACCTGAGACTTTAAATTTCTGAGAGTTTTTTCATTATCCAAAGCAGGCAGTGGAGTCTTGAAATATCTTTTTTTTAAAAAAAACAGAACTATTTTGTACCATATGTTAAATGCCACCCATAATAATGCTATGCACGTGGCCGATATTATTCAAAGGGATTCTGTGATGGATAACATGGATAACAAAACTGAAAAATGAGCTTTTGAGTCTCTGAGAATTGTCGTCAAGTTCCAGAATCAGCGGTTGGCTTCTCCTTTCCATAATGGCCATTTCTCTCTCTCCTCTTGCTTGCTCAGCTATGATGGATATTACTGGGTAAGCCCAATCACATAGGTCTATGAAGCTTACTCATGAATTCTTATTCTGGATTTGCAACGAAATCACATGAAATCTGGCAACCAGGTTAATACAGCAAGAATTGCCAATGCTGACTGAAGGGAAGGTAGATCAAATACAGTTACATTGCACAGACAAACTAGCAAACTAGCAAATAGCAGAATCCCTCTGCTATTTTGCATGTGTATTAAGTAACAAAAAAACAAGGCCAGAACTGTAGCTATGTGAAAGCCAAGATCTCTAATTATCAATTGCAAATACACAAAACTACAGTTCCTGTAACGATGCATAACAAGGGTTATCTATGCCATTGTATATTCCTAAGACCACTGCAGAGATCTTGAATGTATAGCACAGGGGTGGCGAACCTATGGCACGCATGCCAGAGGTGGCACTCAGAGCCCTCTCTGTGTGCACGTTCACGGTTGCCTCAGCCCCGCCTCCCCCCTGCAGCTCCCTCACCAATAGCCCCCCCCCCAGAGGAGAGTCACCCCTGGACACAGCCTGCATGGAATAGCCCAGCCAGGGACATGCCCAGTCACGTGCAGATGATGCTGCGGGGTGCGGGTGGAGAGCGTGGCCGCCATGGTGCTGCAGAGCCACCTGGGCACACTGCAGCAGGCTGTGGAGGTGGTGGGTGGCCCTGCGGGTAGGCGGGCAGGAGCAGGTTTGGGGCACTCAGTCTCTAAAAGGTTTGCCATCACTGGTATAGCATATTAGTTCCTTATTTATTTAAGAATTTAAAGGATGAATATTTCTGCTCAGAGAAGAATATTGCATCTCATAGAAAACATTTTATTGCTATCCTGTTAGAGAAGAAACATCATCAGGTTATGTCAACTCATTTATTCTACTGATAAGTTTGAATAAGCTACAAATCTGGTATTGTCCTCTTTCATGGGCTGCACAAATGGGATGGGGAACTGTTTTAACATTGTACAGTAGTTGTGCTGAAATCTAGTTCTTGCAATCTAAACAGTACTTTTTCTCTACAGTTTCGGAATCCCAAAGTTCCTCTTCATAGTCGGCTATCAAACCTTATAGCTCACTTGAAAAAGAAAGGGGACAAACCCTGTCAAGAATTTTACCGAGCTTTACACATCAATGCTGAGCATCTGTATAACAACTTGCCGAGCAGGAAAACTCTAAGTAAGTTGGATGCTTCAGCTTTCTTCAGTCATTGTGTTTTAATTCTTCCAAATTCTTATGTTTGATTTGTCTCTTTTCAGAAACTTAAGTGAATCTTGTGCTATTCTGTTTCGCATAAATACTCAGAGCTGCCCAAGTGCTCTGGCAATTAAAAGTTTGTTCTCAGTTCCTATTTGAGATTTTTGTGATTAAATTTGATTTCTATTTACAATCACTAACTGTTATTGGCAATACCCAAATATATATTTAAATATATACTTCTGCATAATTTTGACTTCTCAAGCTGTTTGTTAAAAACACAGGAAAGTGCTATTGCTTCTGGCGAAAATGTTAAAGGCTGCAGACAGACAGGACTCAGTTGTGCTTTGATTAGATGGTAATCATCTTGTTTGGAAAACTGTCTCTTGGCCTAGAAGGTTAAGGTCATTTTCAGAGTGAACTGTATGCATTCTGTCAGGAGAACTTCAAAAATTATGGGCTTTATTGTACAAGAGCTATCTCAGTTGAAATAACTGCTTCTGCTGTGTGGCTGTAACATAGGCTAACATATAGAGAAACTGGATTCAGATTTAATTTAATCAAGAGAAGGAATGATGCCAAATGTGTATTTGGCTCTAAAGCTATATCTAGAATATATCTAGACTCAAGATCAAGCCTAAACTTTGTTCCAGTTATTTAAATTCTTTTTTTTCAACTCACCCCAACATTGATTATGAATTAGTTTATATCTCTGTCCAGATTCTGTATTACTAAACATCCAAACTCTTCCATTTTTGTGCTTATAGTTCTTTGGTGAGAACCAATTTAATGTAGTGGTTAAAGATACCAGGTAGAAACTGAAAGACTAAGACTTTTAGTCTCGTGTTGGGCACCAAGTCTGCTGGATGACATAGGACCAGTCAGTTTCTCTCAGCCCTAGGAAAAAGAAAATGGCAAACCATTTCCCCCCAAATTTCATGAACTTGTTCTGCTTCTGCATGATTTTTTTTTCTATGCCAATATATTTCATTACTATATATTTGTTTATCAGATTTGTATAACTGCCCATTTATGTGGCTTTGAGCATCCTACAACAATCAGTAATTACTATTGTAAAAAAAATAATATGCATATACTATTCAGGGACAAAAACATGTGTTGTTCTTTAATGAAAAAAGCAACAAACCATGTTTTGGTCTCTATGACACATACAGTATGTTAAAATATGAAAACAATGGAAAATTTTGAAACAGATAATATTCAACCAGATTTGTATGTGAGTTTCTAATTGGCAAGAAAATTGCAAATCATGGCAAGAACTGATCATACATCAGTACCAATTCACGTTCTGATATCGTCACAGTTGTTATTTTCGTAAAATTGTGCATATAACTCAATGTAGCCCACAAAGCAAAATTCAGTGTGGTAAATATTAGTTAAAGGAGGAGAAAATTGAGATATGTGCTTAGGCTTAGCTTCAGTCTGAGTTATAGCAGGATCTGAAAACTAAGAAGCCATAACTCTGGGTCCAACCCAAATTTTTGTCCAGACTGTAAATCTTTCATTTCTGCTTAATTATGTGCCATGCTTGTTTATATGCCATCAGAGCAATGTTGACTCTCAACAACCTTCTCCAGGATGATCTGTCCCCAGCTTAGCCCTTCAGGTCTTTCTGTGGTATATCCATTGCCACTGTAATTGAATCCATCCACCTTGTTGCTAGTTGTCTTTTTTGTCTTTCCTTCCACCTTTCCCAACATTATGGACTTTTCAAGGGAGCTGACACTTCACACATTGTGTCCAGAATATGATGATTGAGCCTGTTCTTTTGAGCTTTCAAGTGAGCTTTCTGGAGGGTTCATTTGTTTGTTTTCCGGACTACCTATGACTGTCTTTGCCAACGCCAGAGTTTAAAAGAATCAGTATTCTTCCTGTCCTGCTTCTTCCATAGAGCGTCACAGGGAAAACCATTGCCTGGACAACGCTGATCTTTGTAGGTATAGACATATTCTGGGTAACTGACTACTTTTCTAGGGCCTTTGTAGCAATTCTACCAAGTGCTATTCTGCAGCATATTTTTGGCTGCTGGTTCTTTTCCTGTCAATGGTTGATTTTAAAAGGTAAACCTAACTACAATACAATACCTTCATTGCCAGGTCAGAGGCTGGTTTTTGTAGCTATTGTCATGACTTTGGCCTTTGTTGTATTTAATCTAGCTTTTCACTGTGTTCTTTGACTTTTAAGTCCTTGAGATCATTTACATACTATTTGCATTTTCATCTATCCGAGTACTGTCATAAGCATAGGGTAGGCTGTCAATATTTCTTCGTCAATTTTAATCTTCTTCCAGTCCAGTTTCCTTTTGTATATTTAGCTGTTGTTGTTGCTGTTGCTGCTGTTGTTTTTTCTTGAGGACTGTCTGGAATAGCTCCTATAGTTTTTTGACAAAATTTTAGAACTGGTTTACCTTTGCCAATGTAAGGACCCACCCCACTTTGCATCTTAAGAAGACAGAACTCTTGGAATAATTCTTCCAACAGGAATCCTTTATTAAGAGAAAATGGTTGCAGGCATGCTAGACAGGACTTGGGGTTCAAGCTCTCCCATTCAAGGTTTTAAGGGGTTCCCCAGTAGTCCCACCCAATCAACCCCCCTTCCAGTGATAGTTTCAAGTATCACAATTCCATCCCCTTTCTTCTTCCGTCTGGATGGAGACTTCAGATAACTACATGAAAGGCAATTACTCTTCTTTGATATGTTAAAGCTTAGAGGCCACAATAAACACACATTCAGTCCTTTGAAGTGTGCTGAAGGAAGTGAGGGCCATAAAGCCCCTTTGCTCTCCCCCTTTTCTCCCTCTTATGGCAGAATCCAGAGAAGGCAGAATTGGGAGTTTCTATGTTTGATAATTAAAGATGAAATATAATTGGATTCTGACATCCGGCCCCTCTTAACAATAAGAGAGATCCACCTGAAAGAAAATACAAGTAAAAAATTTAGTTAGGCTTGTTAGGATACTCTGTGTGAAACTTCTTCAATAGCTTCGGGGCTCTGACGTGACGTTTATGGACCCACTCATTTTGTGAGGCAGGGAGGTGTTTCCAGGCAACTAGGTACTGAGTTGTTCCACGATATCTCCTAGAGTCAAGGATCTCTTTTATTTCGAAGTGTTGTTCCCCCTCCACCATGATTGGAGGTGGTGGGGGGGGGATTTTTGGCCGTAGAGGTGACTGATGCTCTCTTTTCAGCAAGCTGCAATGAAAAATTGGGTGTATTTGCCTGAGGTTTTTGGGTAATTCTAATTCTACTGTTACTGGATTTATGATCCTTTTAATTGGAAAAGGTCCTATATATTTTGGTCCAAGTTTTTTACAGGGCTGTAGGGACTTTAGGTATTTTGTAGATAAGTACACCATTTCTCCTATAATGAATGGTGTAGGCTCAACCCTTTTTTTATCGGCTTGTGCTTTGTATGCCCGCCTAGCTTCATCTAGTGATTTTCTGACTATTGGCCAGGTGTTTTGTAGGTTTTCCATCCATTCTTTCAGTGAAGGGATCGTTGGTTCTTTTGGGGTTAACTCTGGCATAGGGTTGAAACTTTGGCCGTTGGCTATTTGAAAAGGAGTGTAGCCTGTGCTGGAGTGGACTGCATTATTGTAGGCAACTTCTGCAAAAGGAAGTAAGTCCGTCCAATCACTCTGTTGGAAATTTAAAAAACATCTCAAATATTGCTCAAGTACCGACTGGCAGCGTTCCGCTTGTCCATCTGTCTGAGGGTGATGGCTAGATGTCAGTCCCTGAGTGGTCCCTAAGAGGGATAAAAATTCCTTCCAAAATGTAGACGTAAATTGCACTCCCCTATCAGAGATGATGCGTTGGGGTGCCCCGTGCAATCTGTAAATGTGCTGGATAAAAAGTTTTGCTAAGGCCTTTGCAGTGGGAATTTTTTGGCAAGGGATAAAGTGCACCTGTTTGGAAAATAGGTCCGTGACTGTCCAGATAACAGTATTCCCATTGCTTTCAGGCAATTCCACTATAAAATCCATGGCTATTTCCCTCCAGGGGGCTGAGGGACTTGCCACTGGTTGTAACAGCCCTGGCGATTTCCCTTGCAACCTCTTTGCTGATGCACAGGTTGGGCAGCTGGCAACATAACTTTCTATGTCCTTTTTTATTGATGGCCACCAAAATTGCCGTTTAATTAAGTGTAAAGTTTTTACAAATCCAAAATGCCCTGCTGATTTTGTGTCATGGCAAAGTTGCATGAAAGTTAGTCTTTGAGTTGTTGGTATATATAACTTTTCCCCTACCCAAGGCAATCCGTCTCTCATTGTGCACACATGTTTGTTTTTCTGGAACCAATCATCTGTTTCCAAACTTTTTCTGAATTCAATCCCAGTTGGCTGTCCAGTTGTGGTTTTATTTTGGCTTGGGTTCTTGTGGTTACTGGCGCTGCCAGTTGTGACTCTGCCATTATTGGTCTAGAGTCTGTGGTTCGTGCGCTGTTATATTGGGGCATGCGAGACAGTGCATCTGCCAGGAAGTTCTTTCTTCCTGGTAAATGTTTGAGCTTAAATTGGAATTGGTGAAAATGCTGGGACCAGCGGGCTTGTTTGGGATTGAGTTTCCTGGAAGTTTTCAGGGCTTCTAAATTTTTGTGATCAGTCCATACCTGGAAGGGGATTTTGTTGCCTTCCAGGAACTGTCGCCACGTGAGTAATGCCCAACGTATCCCATAAGCCTCCTTCTCCCATACGGGCCAGCGCTGTTCTGTTTCCGTGAGTTTCTTAGATGTATATGCACAGGGTTGCAATACTGCATCATCATTTTCTTGTAATAGCACAGCCCCCACTGCCACATCACTTGCATCTGCCTGTATTATGAAGGGCTTGTCCATGTCTGGGTGCCTTAGTACTGGTTCGGCAGAAAAAAGTCTCTTTAGTCTCTCAAACGCTGCTTGGCACTCCATTGTCCATTTTAGTGGCTGGCTAGGTTTTACTGAGGATGTTCCCTTCGTTTTT